TTTTTTTTGGTTTTTCTCCGGTACCGGGAACCGAACTCATGACCTTGCGCTTGCCAGGCAGGCGCTTTGCCGCTGAGCTAAATCCCCAGCCCCCTAAATTCATCCTTTTTATAATCATGGTGATACAAATTTAGACCATTGCAACATTGTCACATTTACATGTAACTGAAAAGTTTAGAAATCTGACATAGTACTAGCCAAGACTTGGCCCTGTAAGCATTTTCGTATATTGCTGATAGGTATGTAAAGTGGTGTAGCTCTAGCAAACTGTTGATATTAATCTACTAAACTGAAGATATGAAATCTCTTGACCTATCAATTTTACCCCTAGAAACATATACTACAGTAGTGGCTCACAAGTGTAAAACCCAAACCAATAGCTTCAGAATCACCTGAAAACCAGGTTAGGATGCACACATCTTCTGGAAGAGAAGTCCTAGCACTCTGCTTTTCATGGCCCATGCAATGATTCCCAACTTGCTTAACTCTGACCAGCACTGCCCCCACACAAGTGAGATTCTGTGTATCAAGATACATTCACAGGGCCAGGGATATAGCTCAGGGGCACAAGTGCCTGCCTAGCAAGCAGAAGGTCATGAGTTTGATTCCCAGTACCAAAAAAAAAAAAAAAAGATACATGCACAATTAGCTTCATAGTAGCATAGTTTTTAATAGCAAAAATGGGAACAATCAAAACCAAAAATACAGCCAACAATACAATGAAGAAAATACTCTATTGGCTTTAATTTAATAAAATACCACTCAGAAATATAAATGAGTAAATTACAACCACATGCAACAACATCGATGAATCTTAAAAGTAAACTAAATTTTGTTAAAAAATTGAAGATGCAAAAAAATAAAAAAAACTGAGGATGTATGTGATGGAGAAACTCAAAACACAAAAACCAACACAAAATATATGATCCAAAGTAGACAAAATTAAAAAGCAGACAAAACAGGTTTAAATTGGCTACTGATAGTTACAGACAGACTCGCAAAACGCCCCTGTAATTAATTCCTGCCCCTTGATGCATGCTCTTTTGTGATCTGTTCCTCTCAAATGCGAGTGAGACTTGTGATTCCCTTTTAACCAACAGTAGCACCAAAGTGATAGAATTTACATAATTCTGTGTTCAAGGTTGAATCACATATGACTTTAGTGCCAGTAAGGTAACTATAAGTAGCAGTTATGTTTGAACGTTATGTTTGTATACCAAAATATAACATAATATCCCATAAATATGTATTTTAAGTATCTATTAGTTAATTAATTAACATTAAAAAGACTACTGTGCCAGTCTAGCTGCAGTCTCTCTCCCCTGATAGACCTGATGAACCAAGTGAGTAGGCTGAGGTCTCCATGTGGCAAGAGTTTCCAGCTGACAAACAGCCAGCAAGAAAATGATGCTGCAAGTTCCTGAGCGAACTGGGAAGCAGAACCTCTGAAAGCCAAACTTTCAGAAGAGACCCCAGCCCAATCCTGCATCTTGATTTCAGTTTTGCATAGGACCTACCGAAGCCACACTCTGATTTGCAGAAATTGGAAGTAATAATATGTGCTGTTTGAAGCCATTAAATCTACAGTGGTTTGTTTTGCCTTTAATAGAAAACACAAAATATATCTTAGTTTTGACTCCCTAGAATCAGAACCTAACACAATGGTAGTTGTTCAAGTGATTGATTTTAAGGAAGGAGTGCTATTAGAAGATGAGTAAACCCTGCAACATAAGGATAGGAAAAAGAAGCCTGCAGGAATAAGTTCTCAGCTAGAGTCTAGTGTTGGACTATTTCCAGAGTAAACAACTCGAGCACCTCCAGTCCATGCAACTGTGAGACAGGTAACTGATCTTCTGTGGCACTGTCAACATGACCTCCTGGGAAGTGATTCCCACTTGATAAAAGGCAAGTCCACAGAGAAGTGGGCAGTTGTAAATTTTTGTCATGTGAAACTCACAGCATCTAGTTCAGGAGAAATGAGCGAAACAGGAGAAGGCTAGGAGCATCCATTACAGATGGTATAATTGAGATCAAATTTAGATGAAAACAATGGATAAAAAAATAGAGTTGGGTGAATAACGTAGAGATTTGCAGAGATTCTGCAAGTGTTCTATTTCTTAACC